GTGCCCTACGGTGCTATGCGATGAATATTTCAGACACGAGAATGTTGAAAGTTCAAAGTGCAGCGATGTTTGCGTCAGTGTAGGTGTGCTGTTACATAAGAGGAAGAGGTGAGAGCAGGTCTAATCAGTTACTGTGGAGGTGTTGTGGGCCTAATTTAACCAAACAGCTGTTTTAGAAACTCTCACAAGTTTTCCCAATACTCTTGGATTTATTTTTCGCAGAGGACTGAAATGTTTTACTTGACCAAATCTAAATGAGCACAAACACAAGTGCAAGTTTCCAATCAGCAAACATAATCCTGCCAATGTCTAAGTAACATGCTGTTAAATGTTATTTCTGGGACAAATGCCAAGGGAGAACCTCATAGGAAATGCCTCAAGGTTAAACCCAGGTTATTCAAGCCTGGAAACACTGCTGCTCAATCTCAAAGAAATGCTGAAATACAAACTTTACAGAGGGAACCACAACTAAGAGTCAAAGTGTGATTTTTTATTTTCTCCTCCTCCTGTAAATCCAAAATAGTGCTAACTTCATGTTTTCCATCCAGAGTGGTGTTATGACAGAAAAAAATGCTGTGTTGCCCATCAGGGATATCCTATAATACAATATTGATCTCTTTGGGAGGGTTGGAGGGAGTCCAGGGACTTCGGGGATCATGTGATATGATGTTTTTGGTCAGTAATCACCCAGGTGACGACCTCTTACAGGGTGTTGGTGTGTATACATCTGGAGATTCAACAACAGAGGACGACAGCAGGTTTTTGTACTAATGGGTAGAGCTCTAAGTCCCGATTCAAAAGGTTTTAAAATGCTGCAGTTACAAGATGAGTGCATATAGTCAGCCTAAAATAGTGCTATGTGAATGTGAGGTTTTGGGGACAGAAGATATGGAAGCCAAAACAGATTCAGGTAGCGATTATTTACTGCATTAAGGTGCTTTCAGACAGTGAGTGGGTAACCAGAGGTGGAAAAAGTACACACATTCCTTACTCAGATACACATATTTGTATAAAAAGATTACAGTGGAAGTAGAAGGACTGCTTCAACTTCTTTACTCAAGTAAAAGTGTAAAAGTACAGGCCCTGAAAATATCAGAGTATAAAAGGACTCTATATATATATATAAAAAACTCTCTTGGTTTCTCTGAAGGACATTTGTACCAGCTGTTTCTGTGCAAAGCTAACTGAAACTACAAATAGGTCGAGTCTCCTTCTGTTGTGTGTTTTGCTCATGTGTGGACTGTACCAGCCTTGATGTTGGGAAGGCGTGCAATGACGCAAAAAAATTGGGAAAATAACCGTAACAAGTCTGTTTTGAAAATGTAGGGGGTAAAAGCAAAATGTTGAATGTTGAAAATGTGAAAAATAAATACTAAGTAAGTATTTATACCTGTATAAGTACAGATACCGTAAGTATTTGTACTTCATTACTGGCGCCCTGTTGCTGTCCTGTGTTTGTTTAGCCACGCATGGTGAGTTTATTGGTCTGTCAGTTGGTCTATTACTATTATTTGATGAATTATTATATTTTTCTATTCATGGAGAGAATAAACCCAGCCTGTTTTGGTGATCTCTTAATTGTTTAATCTGGCACCATCTTTAGGTTGCCCAATATTTGTAAGTTTTTATTTTATTTTACATTACTTGAAAAACTAGTGAATATCCCATCCGCCTTAGCTATCCTTTATACTTAGCGCTAATTAGTGCTAATTCATCTCTTTGTGTTTTTCTTTCCACTATTTGTGAGGGTTTCATCATCTAATTTTATCATTTAAAGATCACAGTTACATTCATTATTGATCTACGTTACTCTCTCCATTTAAAAACAGAATGCCTAAGTACTGGATTGTTTTAATACTTCATTCTGCAGGCAGGCAGCTGTTTGACTATTTATCCAGGAACATGGAGATAACAGTAGGCAGAAGAAGACACCTCTAGGCACTAGATTATGCTGATTTGAATAATCTGTATAGTGAATTACTGTAGGTTTGTAAACATCCCGTAAAGATTCTATAGGAATCACTACGTACTCACATCAGTGAGTGAGATAAGCGAGACTGTTGGGAACATCATCCAGCACTGCTGCTTTAGTGCACACAACTACTTCAAATATATCAGCCAAGACTGAGAGCACACACACACACACACACACACTGAGAGTGTATTGTATACACTCACACGAATGAGTTACTCACAGATACATGAGGCTTGTTACTTAAAGGTCAGGATGATTGTAAGCAAAACATGTAAAAACGTGTTTGATCATCTGTGCCAGGGTACTGGCACATATATTACGTAACGTGAACAAATCCCATTTAGCTGGCGTTCACCCAGTGCACCTCGCCAAGTGTGTATACATTTTCAGCCTGATAGATCCTAGTGTGAATCAAACAAGAAAGCACGGCAGTGTTATCGTGCATTCATGTGCTGTCAAGACGTTCAGATATACGACTGTCCTACCAGGAAGTCCCTTTTTAAATGTCCTTTGGCATGGAAGCGGGGGAAACTCGCAGCGGTGCACGTACTGGCAGAGCAATGAAATACACACCTATATCAAACTAGCTGACAACATCACTGTGTGTCTGATTGTTCACTTACAGAAGGAGCTGCTTTCGTCCTTTGTGCCTTCCATGGTGCCATCCGGCAGCATCTGGAGGTAGAAGCCGTGTCTGCAGTAAAGCCGCGTGACGATGCCCTTCAGCTGGGGCTCTGCAGAGCAAACACAGGGTTAAACACATGTTAGCATCCAGGACAGCGCACACGCACACTTATCAGTGCACGTACATTAATGCACATACCTACCTATGAGCGTGCACACTGACTCAACAAGAAGCAGGTCTTGATATTTGCACTGTGAAATAGTCAAACAGTGAAGTGTGTGTGTGTGTGTGTGTGTGACTGTGGCCTTCAGCAGGATTGATGGGACCCCGGTGTCTGCTAAAAAGAAGCATCTTTCATGGACAGGTTCAAGTGAGGCACGGGAGATGTTCGTTCTGCGCGTGTGTGCGTGTTTACACCCAGGCACGTGTGAGGGTGCTTGTAGCAGCTGCCTATCACTCTACAGTGGAAGAGCACTTCAAACATGCTACCCCCCCTTGTCAGAACTGGGGCTTTAACACAAGTCTAAACATTCAAACTTCACTTATTTTTGGCTGGATGTTAGTGCTCAGAGAGGGAGAACATGCTAACTGCTTAGCTACTGCCTACTAATAATGTATATTGGTAGTATCAGCTAGCACTAGTTTTTTTAAGGTAGCCTGTTTAACTAGTAAATAACCATTTTCACTACATTTTCAGTTTAAAAAGGCTGGGCATTAGTGCGTGTGTCAAGAGCGAGACAGACAGGTGGAAGAGATAATGCGCCGAGGAAGACGCTAGTTTGATTGTGTTTTGAATTCATTCAGTTTGAATTCATTCAATTCATTCAGTCATTTTTGCGCATGCACACACCCTCATCA